ATGAAACACAGATAGACATTTGTCTGATATTTCCTGCTTTCAGCTAAGATCCATCTAACATTAGCTACAATATCCCTAGTACCATGATAGTGGAAAATGTGTTTCTTAAGCACGGTCATCAATTTAAAAGTGTGCGGCAGCATGTAATAGGACAGGTGATAACTGGCCTTTTTAATCACCTGCTGTGCATCTGAGAGCTGGGTAGTGAATAAGGATGATTGAAGGAGAACTGATACCTTTGAGTTGTGAAGTTGGAAAATAGTACTAAATATTCTTTGGCTTGCTAAACAGACAGTTATGTCTTAGGAAAAGTACACCCAGAGTGCACCGTGAAGGCAGGGTTGGCAAAGCTTTGTCTCACATACTTTGGCCCTGTTTCTAGACGAGGCTATTCCTTGGAAAGGTTATCATGCATGGAAGGTAGAGGGTCTGCAAAAGAGGAGGAAGACCCTTAACTAGGTTGATTGACACAGTGACTACAGCAATAGGCTCAAGTGTGTCAGAGATTATGAGGATGGCACAGGAACAGAGTTCAGATTTGTTCATCGGATCACTATGAATCATACTTAATCATACCTAATAACAGCAGCTGTTATTGTAAGGAACTCTGGAATATGCTTCAACAAACAGATGTGGCCCTGGACATACTCACCAGTCTGTGCCAATAAATTTGGAAGATAGCTACCTAAATAATGGGAACAGATCCATATTTGTTTCCATTCTCAAAAAAGGTGATCCAACAGAATGTGGTAATTACTGAACAATATCATTAATATCACATGCCAGTAAAATCTTACCAAGATGATTTTTAAATGAATGGAACAGCACAGCAGAGAACTAGAAATTCAAACAGGATTCAAAAGACTGAAATGTGAGAAATACCACTGTTGATCTCAGATGAATCTCAGCTGAAAGCAGAGTTTGGTAATTGGCTAGTCTCGCCATTCAATTGAACAGATTCAGCAGCAGAATTAGAACATCTTCTCCACCAGCAAAAAGAAGCAAGGACATATAGTGTGCCCTTCGAAGCCAGGCAGACTAGGAGGGCCACAGCAGCCACAGAAGAGAACCAGAGACCTGACAGGAGATGGGATCTGGGACTGCTACACCATTGGAACCAGAGCTAAGATCCTTTGCCCAAGTTTGTTGGAGAGCTGAGGGTGGGAGGCCACAATTCACAGGACTGATAACTTTGTAACACTGACCTAAGTGTTGAGGCTCAAGGCTGAGGTACCTGTGAGCACATTTCAAAAGCTGTCCGAACTTTATCCTGCTACTAACCTGGATTATAACCTTTTGACTTCCCCAGTATGGTTCTGTGTGGTCTGTGAGCTGTCACATCAGATTCTGGACCATGTAACACAGTAAGATTGGTGTTGAAATTATAAGAAAGAGGTCCAGGAGTGTGGTGAACGTCTGACTTCATAGGAATTGGTTTTGGTTGCTGATTCTGGTGCCAGGGACAGTTCCCTTTTGTTAAGTTGGTAAAGGTCAGATGTGGCTGTCCCCACATAGCCCTTGCTCTTAAGACAGAGAGGATACCAGAAAGATATATACTTTTTAAGTTATGCAGAGGGATTTGATGGGGGATTGATAAGTCATAGATAACACTGAAAAGAATGAGAATCCCAGAACACTTAATTGTACTCATCTGAAACCTATATACCTAGATCAGAAAGCAGTTGTCCAACTCATGTACTTATAACTTGTTAGTCAAATTTGTGTCTTCTAGGTTGCAACACCCCCATGATACATCTTCAAGGATATGAACATGTACGGCCAAGCACAATCAATAAGAGTGCATCTAAATTCCAAAATCAATCTCCATAATAGTCTATGTGTTTCCTACTGCCAAAGGGGCCCTTTAGAGTAGTGAGAGAAGATCTTCACCCTGAAACCCACAGCGTCCCTTTTCAGCAGGAAGTAGCTAAGAGAATACGCCATCCCCTTTTCCTTATGACTCAGGGTGAAGTCTCTCTCAGGGAGGAGTGATAGGGAATGGCAAAGGACACACTGACAAAGAAGATTAATCAGAACTGGCTTTGACAAGCACTGTGGCATTTGGACAAGAACAAACTGGGAAGAGGGTAGAGAGAATAGTGCAACAATGAATGAATGGAAACCCAAAATCTCTGTAAATGTTTATGAAAATTAATAAAATATAATTATAGAAAAAAAGAAAGCAGTTGTCCAAACAGACAAGGAAACATTTCAAAATCAGGAAAAGTCTGTATCAGGGTTGTATTCTTCCTCTGTACCTGTTTATTCTGTAAGCTGAACAAATGCTTCAAGAAGCTAGACTATATAAAAAGTATACCATCAGGATTAGAAGACAGGTCACAACTTTGGTTTCAGAAAGTGATGATTTCAAACACTGCTTCAGAATGTCAAGGACTGCAGCCTTCAGTTTCTTGACATCAAGAAAGCAAACGTTTTTACTGCTTACCAATAGCAACATCAAGATAGAGAAAAGATTGAAGCTAACAATTTTATTTGGATCCACAAGCAACAACGATCAAGAAATCAAAAGACATGTTGCGTTGGAAAAATCTGCAGGGACTGTAAAAGGCTCAGGTGGACTTGATCCAAGCCATACTCTTGTCACCTGCTGCTTGTGCTCTGAAAATTGGGCTGTGAATAAGGATGACAGAATTATTTATGCCTTTGAATTGTGTTATTGGGGGAAAGTATCCTATGTACTTTACAAAAGAACAAACAAATCTGTTGTGGAGGAATGTCAGCCATGATATTCCTTAGAGGCGAGGAGATTGAAATTTGGTCTTGCATAATTTGGGAATGTGATCAGGAGGAACCATTCCCTAGAAAAAGACATCATGCTCAGAAAGGTGGAGGCTCAGAGGAAATAAAGGTGGATTGACACAGTGGCTGTTAACAGTGGACTCAGGAGAAAGGTGAGTGTTAGATTCAGTTCTGTGGTTCAGCTACAGATGAGTTGTAGTCACCTTGATGACGCCTAGAAACAACAAGGACACCAACAAAACTTTAAGGATTTTCTTTTTTTTTTTTTACTGGAAAGTTCACTTATTTCATTGGTAGTTTCCCTATAAATTTCTATTTTATTTGCAAGTCTATAACAATTCTGTTTATTTTGCGATCTCTTGGAGTTTTTGTAACTATGCTGCTTATTTTCTCCTTTTTATATGCTATTTATTCTCATTTATATAATGGTACCTCTGGCTTGTAAATGTTTGGTTGATAACCTTTTTGTGTTTTTGTAGTCAGTTTCTGAATGATAGATAGCATCATGTGTTTTGATTTCGGTGTATTTTCTGTCATTGACTTTCAGTACAAAGAACTACATTCAGGAGTTTTCGTAGTCTAGTTTTCACAAATTGTCTTAATTTCTATTTTTCTGTAAAAGTCATATGGAAATTAAGACAAATATTTGGTAGACCATTTTGCTGAATATAGAATTTATGCTTGGAAATTTTTTTTCCCCTTAGAGTTTTGTATATGTAGTCCTTGCTTATATGGCTTGTGAGACCTCAGAGCTTAATCATACTGGTTCTTCTTTGTAGGCGACTCTTCGTTTTACCCAAGCTGCTTTAAGTATTCGTGCTTTGTCTTAATTTTGGCAAATTTGATTGATATTTTTTCATGTTTTGCTTTTGGAAACTGACCTGTTTGGGATTCAGTTACCTTCTTGAATAGTTATTTTCTCATTTTTTTCTAATGTCTGGAAATTTTTCAAGTAGCAAATCTTCCGTGATATCCGCTGTGCTTTTTTTTTTTGTTTGTTTTCTTTTCTTTTATTTTTTTTTATTGTGATGTCCTGGGTACCAGTCACAGCCCTCTTGATGCTGTCCCACATACTAATTTTTTTAGCCATTTTTTTAAAGTTTATTTTAATGAAAGTTTAGAGAGACTTTGGATTTCCATCCATTCATTGTTGCATTTTTCTCTCTGCCCACCCTCCCCCCCCATTCACTTTTCTCTTTGAAAAGTAAAAGAAGAAATTCTTTCATTGTTATTCAGTCCCACCCCCCCAAGTCCACTCCCCTATGTTACCTTTGTTCTGGACTAATCATAACAATAATACATAATCATATATCCCTTTTAAACATTTCTCTACCTCATCTGTTTCAATGCAGTATACATTATTTATCCCCTCTTTCTCAGTCTCCCCAACCCCTATGTCATTCCTCTTTGTAGCAGTGGCATTATGCTGTATTTGTCTTTTTGTGACTGCGATACATATTTCTCAGGTTTTCTTTGTGTTGCTTCCTTTTCCTCCCAGTTCTTCTAACAGGTTAGCAACTGAAAGGTTTGTCCTTCAACTTGCTAAACCAGTGTTTCATTTCTTCAGTTCTGGCTTTTGTCTTTTCAGTGAGCCCTGTGTTTCTGTTTTTTTGTCTTACTGTTTTTGAATTTTACTTTTCTATTTTGTATGACCTCAGATTTTCCATTTATTTATTTAACCTGTTGGTCTTGCATAGCTTTCTGAATTCTGTGTATTTTGAGATTCACTATTTATTCTTTTGTCTTTGGTAAAGAGGTCCTCAGCCAGTATCTGTGTCCTTTGTTATCTTACTTGGAAGTTTGTCTTTCCAGATTGCAGGGTATCAGGAATTGTTGTAGTGGAATCATCCCTTATCCTAACATAATAGTGATGACTAGCTTTATGGGTATTGGCCTAGTGATAAGGAACTGTGCTCCTAAACTTAAAGGCATCCTTTAATCCACCAACTCCACCAGAGAGATGGGCGTTTCCTCCTGTTAGATTTACAGCCTCTGAAAACCTTCTGGAGGGTTAACTATTGTCCAGTTCCACCTCAGTGGTACATAACAAAAACAACAGCTTGTGTGTGTATATGTAAAATACTTTTGAAAGTTTCATGTCTGGTTAATGGTGCTTATAGATCAGGTTTTTTTCCTTACTGGATAGTAAATATATTTTAAAATTTTCATTCTTTGCCCTTCTATAACTGAATGTTAAATAGTGTTTATGTTTGACATATATGTTTCTCATTGTAGGCCTCAGGAGTGCAAGTTGCTGATGAAGTGTGTCGCATTTTTTATGACATGAAAGTTCGGAAATGCTCTACACCAGAAGAAATCAAGAAAAGAAAGAAGGCTGTCATTTTTTGTCTCAGTGCAGACAAAAAGTGCATTATTGTAGAAGAAGGCAAAGAGATCTTGGTTGGAGATGTCGGTGTGACCATAACTGATCCTTTCAAGCATTTTGTAGGAATGCTTCCTGAAAAAGATTGTCGCTACGCTTTGTATGATGCAAGCTTTGAAACCAAGGAATCTAGAAAAGAGGAGTTGATGTTCTTTTTGTGGTAAGTCTTGTTAGAAATAGTGTACATTTAAACATTTTTGAGTAATCTCTTGGCAGGACTTGAAGGACCAGTTCTGAGACCAACAGCTGCATGTGTGTGAATGTGAGGCTAAGGAGGTCAGAAGTAAAATTGAAAGATAGATAGGTCTAGATTACACCTCATTGTGTTTCAGTAATTGATTGAAATGTACTTGTATGCACTCAAATCAACATACTAAGAGATATGGTCATGATACCTATATATTGAGGGGCAGGAAGCTACAGCCATCTGTACATAACAGTAGTGGTAGATGATGGAAGATGCATTCATTAAACTAACTTTCTACTACACACAGGTATTGTGTCAGAGCCTGAGGACACAAGTGTAAATGAAAAAGTCCTTGCTCTTTGGGATTTACAGTGTAGTGGTAGATAAGGCAACTAATAGTCCAGGCTTTTAATGTTTTAATGTTTCCTGCATTTACACTATCCTCCTCCCTTCTACCCCTCTTACCTCCTCAACTATTTTATACCTTTGTTTTTTATTATGAAAAATAAATGCATTCTTATTAACATGTAGAAAGTGAAAGTCAAAAAAGAAAGTGTTATAATGACTTTACATGATTTTTTAAAAAAGAAAAATTATAAGGCTCACAGAGTGTTTTTTTCATTTAAAGATTTTTTCCCCATTTTTTAAAATTAATTTTAATAAAAGTTTACAGAGACTTAGGGTTTCCATTCATTCATTGTTGCTCTTTTCTCCCTGCCCATCCCCTCCCCCGCAATTTGCTCTTCTCTTTGAATAGTAAATGAAAAATTCTTTCATTGTTATACAGTCCCTCCCGCTAAATCCACTTCACCGTGCAGCCCTCATTCTGGACTCCTGTCATGGCAATAATACCTAATCGCACATCGCTTTTAAACATTTTTCTCCCTCATCTGTTTAAAAGCAGTATACATTATTTATCCCCTCTTTCTCAGTCTCTCCCAACCCCGATGTCAGTCCCATTTTACAACAGTGGCCCTATGCAATATTTGTCATTTTGTGACCGAGATATTTGAGCATAAACTCCTCCAGGGTCACCCATTTTGTATAATATTTCATGAAGTTCCTTGTTTCTCAGTGTAGCATAGTATTCCATTGTGTGAACATACCAGAGTTGCTCTATCCATTCCTTTGTTGTTGGGCACTTGGGTTATTTCCAACTCTTTACTATTGTGAACAAAGCAGCAATAAACATGGGTGTGCATATATCTGCTTGGGGGTGGCGGTTATGGTTTCTTTAGTGTATATTCCCAGTAGTGGAATTGCTGGTTCAATTGGTACTTCTATTTGCAACTTTTATAAGGTTCAGAATGGCTTTTATAGGAATTATTTTTAAAATCTGGTTGGAGTGAAATTGCAACCGCTGATATTTTTTTTCCTTGACCTTGACCTATTTGCATAACAAAAGTAACCTGTTGGACTTTGCAGCTGAAAGCATCTGTGACACAAGAGGTTATATACCATGGTTTTGCCTCTTGTTGGATGGAGATTGAAAGGACAAGCTGCTGACAGACATAGAGACCATTCTTTGCCATATTGCCATTAGAATCCCAGCCCATTTGGGGTAGAGAGTGGAGGAGACAAGGCGAGGTCCTCTCCAGTGTTCTTTCCTCTAACAAGCTTATTGGATGATTGGTGAAAATGAGCTATAGGGGTCTGTTTAGTTCCACTTTTGGGTGACTTGAAACTATCACCTCTGGAATTGCTCAAGTTTTTAAAGGCCATGATTTTAATGGCTGTAGCTGGGAAATAAGTGGGTCAAGGCACTGGGCTAAGGGCAGGGACTACACACTCTAACTCATGGTTAACTCCACAATGAGGGAGGCAAAGATTCTGGGGCTTCGTCTGACATACTTTGGACATGTTGCCAGGAGGGATGAGTCCTTGGAGAGGGACATCATGCTTGGGAGGATGGAGGGACAGCGCAGGAGGGGAAG